GAGGAGAGGGGAGGAGAGGAGAGGAGAGGAGAGGAGAAATAACCCAGAAATAACAGAACCAAGTGATCCATGGCCTGAAACTTCTGAAACCATGATCTAAAATGTACCTTTCTTCCCTTGAGTTGTTTTTCATGGGTATTTTGTCACAGTGACAGAAAGCTAACACATTCAGTGTGTTGCATATATAAAAAAGGAACAGAAATACTTTGATTTCTTCAGGTGTTTGAGGAAAGATTATGGGCTCCTAGAGAGACCTCTTAGTGTTAAAAGAAAATACTCTTATTACTAGAGCTCACTAATAGAACTAGATTTCTCTAATTTGAAATGTAAGACTCATTAACTAAGCACATACAAGTGTGGCAGGTGTGTGTAACAAGTTGCAGAAGATTCCAGCAAGGCAGTAGGGGGAGGCCACCAGCTGGGGCAGCTGAGGCTGTGGGAGAGTTGTGGGGGCCTTATACGGTCTGGATTTTAGATGTCAGGTCCCCCAAAGGCCTACATGCTAAAGGCTTGGTCAGCAGCCTGTGGTGCTGTTGGGGTGTAGTGGAACCTTTAGGACGTGGAACCGAGAGGAAGGAAGTTAGGCCATTCAGGTTCTATCCTTGAAGGGGCTATTGGGACACTAAGCCAACCCTCCTCTCTCCATCTACTTCCCCGTCACTGAGGAGGGAGTTGTTTCTTCTGCCATGTGTTCCCTGCCCTGAGGTTCTGCCTCACCACAGGTCCAAATGTAGTAGAACCTGCCAGCCGTGGACTAAGAGCTGTGAAACCGCCTCCCCATAAGTTGGTTATCGCAGATGTTTTGTCACAACGACGGAAAGCTAACACAGGGCCACAGTGGCTTTAGGACAAGACATGGTAGCAGAAGCCAGGTGAGGCTGCTGATGGAGAGATCACACTCTGTGGAAAGGACTTCCAAGAGGCAGAAGATGGAGGAAAAGGAGGCACCAGCTTGGCTCCTGTCTGAGCCACGGGGATGGTCTCAAGGTTCACCTGGTGGGTAGGGTGATCACAGCCATGAAGACAATATTCATATAAAGAAGACATGCGATAGGGTGACAGGCCCAAAAGAGAGCAGTTAAGGTGAGGAGGGAATGTTCTGGAACACTGTACAGGTAACTAAAATGAGCAAGGGAGGCCATCTTTGTGACTAAGCTCAATTGGGCATAGCTAAACTTGCACCCATTTACCATTTACCTATTACTGTAGAGAAACTTAACTGTGCCTCTAAACAGTGGGCAAGGAGGACGATGAGAAGAGCCAAGTAGGCAGCAAGGCAGAGTGGTGTTGTGGGCCCAGCTATGCTCCACTTGGACCACACCAGCCAGGCCTTCTGGGGCAGTGATACTAGTGCCTCTCACTGTGGATGCCTGGCAGATCTTGTCCCCTGCTTCCATCGTTGCCTGGTCACTCACCCAACCCAGGAAACTGTACACTCAGCGTTTTCTGGAAACTCAATAGCTGCAAGGGTCCTGGTCCTCTGGAAACTCTAGGGCTTCGGTTTCTGATCCGAGGTAAACTGAATCTGGCACCACTGGGTGGGGGTCTGGTGGGGGGGCAACACTTCCTGAATCCGAACCTGAAGCTCCTGGAGCATCATCTCTCCTAGAGCCCAGTTCTCTGCAGGTGAGTGTCTGCCTGTCTTAGTTACTTTTCTAGTTACTGAGACAAAATACCTATACCCAAAGTTATTTTATCCAGGCTACTTAGGGTGGGTAGCACTCACACCTTTAGTCCTATTGCCCTTGAGCCTAGCATTGTACCATGAATCAATCCCAGTGTCACACACTCTGGATCCAAAAAAGCTGCACCTATGACCACAGGAGCCTTTAGAGGGACATCTTTTTTTTTTTTTTGGTTTTTCTCCGGTACCAGGAACGAACTCACGACCCGCTGAGCCAAATCCCCAGCCCCCTAGAGGGACATCTAAACACAAGCCATACACTGCCCGTCTTTGGACCTTGAGGGCATGCGTCTCCCTTCCCTGTGTGCCTGGCCCTACGGGCTGTGGAATGACACTGCCTGGGTTTGACTCTGCTTTAACATGAACCTTGGGCAAAGAATTGCCCAAAATGCACCAGCCCTTGCAATTTTTTCTTTTTTGTCTTTTTTGGGACTGGGTCTCACTATGCAGTTCAGGCTGGCCTGGAGCTCACTTTGTAGCCCAGGCTGGTCTTGAACTAGCAGCAATCCTCCTGAGTGCTGGGATTACAGGTGTGTGCCCCACCATGCCTGGCTCCTTGCGGTTCTTAATGTGTAAAATAAAGATGTGAATGCTTGGTTTGTCATCAAGATTAAATAAGATGATGCACAAAAATAATACCCAAGGTACAGCTCAGTGGGCATAGTTAAACAAGATTGACTTTCTTCAGGTCTTGGCTTTTTTTGTCACAGCCCAAGCCAGGTCTGACTCCTTCCTCTGCAAACACTTCTGTCAGGTAAAGTGTGATGGCCCAGTACAGGACCCAGCCAGCCTGAATCTGGGGATTCTAGGAGGGACCTCCTGGAGCAACTTCAAGGGAAAGTCTGAGTTCCATTTGTTGAGCTGAGCCTTTTATTTTTTATTTTTTGTCTTTTTGAGACAGGGTCTCATTATGCAGTTCAGGCTGGCCTTGAGCTCACTTTGTAGCCCAGGCTGGTCTTGAACTCGCAACGATCCTCCTGCCTCAGCCTCCAGAGTGCTGGGATTACAGGTGTGCGCCACCACACCCAGCTAAGCTGGGTCTTTTATACATAGGGTTGGGTGGGGGGTAGTGGCTGGGTAGGGTGAGGTGAAGGGAGGCATGAGTTTAGGGGAGTGAGAATGTCTGAGTGTCCACAGCAATGGCTAATGTTGTGTTGTGGGCGCCTTGTGACCCAGCAGGGCAGGACTGGGCAGGTGTGCCCTGTTCTAGCAGAGTGGGCGTTGTTCCTGGGCTCAGGTGGCTGGGAACAGGAACTGGGCTGGCGGGTGCAAGGGCAGACAGGGATCAGACCTACCAATCTCTTTGTCATGTTTTCAGGGCTTCCTGTTGGACCAGGGCCCACTGTCATTTCTGTGGGTCCTGCCACAGTGCTTCCTGTACCTTGGGAGCCAGTGCAACCTATTCCAGAATATTCTACCATCAGCAGTAGCTGCCACCTGGCTTGTTTGGATTTCATGGGATGGGGTTTACCTTTCAAGTGCCCTGTGAAAAATACAAGAACAAAACTATGCAGAGATGGTCTTCTCTCCCTGAAAGGTGGAATGGCTGGTTCTGAGTGTTAAGGAGAAGCCACAGAGAATTAGAAGTATTTTTCCCCCGCAGGCTCTCATTTGAGCTATGTGAGGCCTCTGCCCGCTCCCAGCAGCCTCAGCAGTGACTCCTGCGGTAAGCAGCAATTATAACACCCTGGCCCACATTCCCTACCCGCTCCTCAGGGCCGGCTGGTCAGGCTGTCTGCAGCGATTTTCATTCCCACTTGACCAGTTTTCAGTGTAGAAAACAGAAAGCCCTCCTTCAGCCCCAGCCTTGCTGCTCAGCACCCTCACTCCCCAGAAGCCTGGGTTCCTGAAAGTGCCCTCAGGCCACGCCCTGATGGGCTGTACTCTGACTTGTGTCCTGGGTGCCATGAGGCCCCCAGCTTATCAAGTTATGAAACATTCGCTGCAGCAAGACGCACCTTGGTCCCCTGGAGGAGGAGGCCCGGGGGAGGCACCCGTGACAGGGCAGGCAGGAAGGTAGGACCTGTAGCTGCTTCCTGGCCACCTCCGCGCTGAGTCAGGTGCTGAGAAGTTAATCTCTCACTCCTGAAGCAGTCCTACCTCCTCCCCGAGAGGTACTCTCTGCCCTGCTTCTGCCAGAAGGGGAGGAATCCTGTTGCCATGAACTCTACCATCCCCAGTTGTGAGTTTCCCAGCAGCTCGGTGAGTGCTGGAGGAGGGAATGGGACAGGAAGGAGGTGGGGAGGCCCAGGGTGGTGTCTTCCTGCCCCAGTGCCTGACAAGAAGCTTTAGATTAGGTTCAGAGTAGATGAGGTGGCAGCTCCCTCCTCTCCCCAGCCTTGGCTCCTTCGGGGCCATCCCTCAGGTCACTGTCACAACTGGCACAGAATTTGCCCTCCCTGTGATACCCACAAAGGCTGGGGGAGGGGAGGACGGGCTCTCTGGCAGGGCAAGTGGTGTAGGTCGTCTTCTCACCTTTACTCAGGGTGGGCTCTGCTGAACCTGGGTGTCGTTTGCCAGGTTCCTCTTTTCTTTTTATTTTATTTATTTTATTTTACTTTTTTGTCTTTTTGAGACAGGGTCTCACTATGCAGTTCAGGCTGGCCTTGAACTCACTTTGTAGCCCAAGCTGGTCTCAAACTTGCAGTGATCTTCCTGCCTCAGCCTCCCGAGTGCTGGAATTAGAGGCGTGCGCCACCACTCCCGGGTTAAGCTTTCTCTTTTCTGAAACCCTTTCTGGATCCAAGGAAAGGAAGAATCTAGGGAAGCAGAAAGAGAAGTGACTGTACCAGACAGTCGAGAGGCCTCAGACTCTCTGTGCTTCAATTTCCTCCTCGTAAGCAAATGCAACAGGCGCTCGTTCCTGTCTCACAGACGAGAAAACTAAGCCTAGAGGAGCCGAGTCACAGGATCCCCCTGGCAGCCTCTGCAGCCGGGAGCGCCTGGGCCCCATCTCTCTCTAGCCTAGCTGGCCGCTTAAAAATAGCAGGGAGGACTGAATGGAGAACTTCCGTGGTTGCCACTGCCCACTGGTGGGGCACAGCGCCACTCCTCTCTGGCCAGGCCACAGCCAGCTGAGCCCCGGCCAGGGCTCTGGGGACGGAGCCACCACGAAGCTGGGCTGGCTCTCAGAGTCTGCCCCGGAGCCAGCTGCCACACCCTGCCCGCTGCGGCTCAGCCTCCTGCAGGGTGCCCGGCGTTCCCCGCTGAGGAAGCCGAGGGGCACTGAGAGAAAACCGCCTCTCTTGCCCCCACCTCAGAACTCTGCCTGCCACTTGCCTTGGGGGCCAAGAGTCTGGGAAAAGAAGCCGAAGACTCCCTTTCCCAAAGACTATGTTGTTGTCCAGATTTGCGGTGTCCCTGAGGCAAGCTGGGGGGGTCGGGCACATCTCATTTTTGGGGGTGGGGGTTCAAGGGCTCAAGAGCACAGCACGAGTGGGGGCAATGAGGCCACACAGGAGGAAACTACCTGCTAGCCCCAGGGGAACGGAGGGTTAGGGCAGGGCTGCAGGCCAGCTGGGGCCGGGCCCCAAAGGGGTGCGGCTGTGTGGGGTGGAGATGGTGTCAGGAGGGGATCCCTGGGGCCTCCTCTTGCTCGCTTGTCTGTGCCTGGGAGCTGCGGGGTGGTCCCCACTTACATGGAGCACAGCTGTGGGCCGCCGCCCTTGACACGGGAAGAGAAGTCTGCTCACATGGAGGAGCCCTGCAGCTGGGCCCCAGTCTCTTCATCTGTCCCTGGTGAGGCCTCGCTAGAGAGATTTAAAGGAGAGGTGCATTGGAAGGTCTGTGTGAAGCCCTGTGCACGCCGAGTCTCCTGAGAGCGCCTGTAGGAAGCTACGTCCTCTAGGGAAGTCATAGGTCCCGGAGAGCTGAGAGACAGCTCCAAGCAGAAGAGGAGGCTGTGACCCATTTTCTCATCTCGTCTTGCATGGTCAGGGCAGTGTGTCAGAAGTCCCCTCCGGGGAGGGCCTTGAGAGCCTGCTGCCACTGGATGGGTAACACGGTGACTCCCAGCCAGGAGTTTTCCTGGAACTTTCCACTACTCTGATGTGTCCCTGGATGGGCTCCCCCCGCCACCAGGAGCCCCACACTCCTGTATTTTTCTCTGGATATCTTCAGTGTACTAACGATTCCTGGCTGACACACAGAACTCTATGTGTACGCTGTCCCTGGTTGTTTTATGTCCATGTCTCACATGTAGGCGTAGGTGACTTGACAGAGTTTACAGCAGAAGATAGATTTATAAGCCATCAGGTGAGCAAAGTAGAAACAGACAACCAAGCGCACTGTGAGAAGGAAGCTAGCGTGTTTGGAGGGGGGCTTGTGTCCTGAGCATCGTCTCTGGCTCTGTGCTTTCTACCTGCCCTGGCCAATGGCTTCAGGGAAGTGACACACTAACACGTTAATATTGTCTCTTAGTTGCTGTGTACTGATCAGGCCCACAATCTTCCAAAGGAGTGTACAGTGAAGGCTTAAATACATGAGTCAAGTGGTTTGATTTTAGGGCTCCAGGAGGATCAATACATTCTCTGCGGGCTAGGACAAAGATCTTCTCTGGGTGGCCCATATTTATTTAGTTATCAAAACAAGGGTGGGAAATACTGAAGGAAGGCAGAACTGCTCAAAGACTTCTCCAGGTAAGACATTACATCAATCTAGGAGCACTATGTTATCTCCAGGAAGGCCTTCACCGCAGGAGTGAGATGCCTGCAGCTATAGTCTTTATCTAGTTCATTGAGGTTGGAGCCAGGTGTCCTTAGCTGTGGCCTTGTCTTGTCCTTTGAGACTCACAGCTTCACCTACCACTACAGGCCTCAGTGGGGACCAGTGACTCACAGAGGTTCACTTACTATGAGTCCGCAGCCCATCTCCAGACAAGGGGCCTGGACGGACTCACAAGTAAACATGAAAAGCCAATTGGTTCATTTAAATCCCGCTCAGAGCTGCTTTGTAGTGTTCCCCATCAACACACTGCTGTCCCAAGAGAACAGCCAGCTGTCCTCAGGGGTGACAGGTACCCCCAGCTCCAAGCTGTAACTTTTTTTGCATGTGGGGCATCATGCAGGATCAATTTCCCCGACCACTCTTCCGAAACAAATGCTGAAGTGGGTTCTGTAGCCATCAGACGGCCATATGGACAGAAAGACAGAACGTGGGGTACTCAGAGGTCCCTGGCCAGCAGCAGTTTTGGACACTGGTCTACACTCTGCTAAGAAGTGGACAGGTCAGAGCCAGCAGTTTTCTCAGTCATGATGCCTAGAGGTCCTGGGTGAAGGATGGGCTCACAGGCAGGCCACACAGAGCTGTCGGGGCCACAGCCCTAGGCTCACACTCATTCTCTCTCTCTCTCTCTCTCTTTCTCTCTCTCTCTCTCTCTCTCTCTCTCTCACACACACACACACACACACACACACACACACACACACACACACACGGTCCCAAAGCATCGCACCCACATGTGCTCCAGCTGTGAGTTCCCTATGGTTGTCCCGGACAGATCCTAGAAGAAAGACTAAGGCTGGGAAAGGTGATGTCAAGTACTTAGGGTCATGGAGCTGGGGGTGACAATCACTTCTGCTCTCCTTCTTTCTGCACGAATGTTTCAGAGTTGCCTGCTCAGAATCAGTCAATCAGTCCATCAATCCATCAATCAGTCAGTCATTCTTGGTCTCCTTTTCCCTCTCCTCTTTCTGTGTCTTTCTCTGAGGCACCTCACAGATTCCTCTGCACACGTACAAAAACCTCACCAGAAGTGGTCAGAAGCCCAGCACTGCCCGCTGCAGCTCCCAGTATGTCTCTGGCCCAGCCCTAACCCCTTTAGGGAAAAGTAGCTTTTCCTGTGCAAGCCCAGCATCAAGGGGCATCAGCACCTCCTCTTGCTCAGAAGTCTAAACAGGGCAGGCTGCCAGGCGTGGTGGCACACGCCTGTAATCCCAACACTTGGGAGGCTGAGGCAGGAGGATCACTGCAAGTTTGAGGCCACCCTGGGCTACAAAGGGAGCTCAAGGCCAGCCTGAACTGCATAGCAAGACTCTGTCTCAAAAAGACAAAAAATAAAAAATAAATAAACAGGGCAGGCTTATTGTCTCACAAGCGTTCCAGTCAGTTGAAGTGAGGGATATATTTCTAAAATGATGAGATGTCCCTGGAGTCATTCACTCAGCATTCGTCCATTCATGTCACCAGCCCAGGGAGCACAAGGGTGGAGGTGGAGAAGGTAGAGGACTTCAGGATGAGGATGTATCTGATGACAGTCTGTCATCTACAGCTGCAGTGAACCTGCTACCGAGCTAGGATGCTCTTGAGAAGGGGAGGCCTCTCTCATCTGAGGCTCAGGTGGGTCAGGTCAGTGCAGGCTTCCAGAGAGGTGAGTGACTTCCAGGTAGATGAGTGAAGTAAAACTCTTACATCTGTGTAGGATTGATTGATTGATTGATTTTTAGTTTCAGAGGATTGAAACTTAGGGCTCGCACACCAAGCTACATCTTGATAGTTTTTTGTTTTTTGTCTTTTGTCTTTTTGAAACAGGGTCTCACTGTGTAGTTCAGGCTGGCCTTGAGCTCACTTTGTAGCTCAGCTTGGGCTCGAACTTGCAACGATCCTCCTGCCTCAGCCTCCCGAGTGCTGGGATTATAGCCGTGCCCCACCAGGCCCAGCTCTAAGTTACATCTCTAAGTTACCCTTTTTATTGATTACTTTAAAAAAATTTTTGAGACAGGGTCTTGTTAAGTTGCTAGATTACCCTCGAAGTTCTCCTGGCTCAGCCTCCCAGAGTGCTGGGATTACAGGCGTGCATCACCACGCCCGGCTACATCTGTGTTTTACAATTTAACATGAGAAGACTGACAAACAAATACCGTTTCATAATGAGAACAAAATGACTCTGCAGGGTGAGCTAGGCTAGCTCAGTAGGCGGCTGTTGGCAGCCCTGGCCCTCAGCCCCGGCCCTCTGTGGTTTGCTGTTCCTGGCTTCCTCCACACCCACAGTGGAAGCCTCAGGCTCATGGCAGGAAGGAATTAGAAGGGTTTGATGCCGATGGGGAGGAAGGGCTGGCTTCCTGCGCCTCCATGCAGGGCATGGTGTGTCCACCCCTAGCGGGTCTTCCCCGGGGGACCAGGTTCATGCTCTTACTACGATGCTTGCTTAATCGGGGGTGACTTGATCACCAGATCATTCAGCGATGTCTGCCGACAGTTTGGATTGTCACAAGCAGAAAGCAGGAAGGGGTGCTCCAGCATCCAGTGAACACACAGGACCGGAGTGCCCCTGAACAGCACAGCCCCTGCCTGGCCCCTGCCATGCACACAGAATGCGGCAAAGAATCACCCATCCCAGAGGCTGAGGCTGGGACACCCTGTCACAGGAAACAGCGGACCCCTGTCTGCAGGGGATGTGACGCAAGAGTCCCGGTGGATGTCTGGAACTGCGTAACTGAAGCCTCGAGAAATGAACCTTGGACGAGGGAGGGCTACTGTGTGATGTTCTGCAGGGACAGGGCTGTCCTAGAGGTGGGTTATGACCACCCAGTTGTTGTTATTATTATTATTATTCTGGTGATTGAACTCAGGACCTTTGCACTAAGCTACAGGCCCAGCCCTTTTTATTTTTTTCTATTTTGAGACAGACTCTCAGTCAAGCAGTCAGTTGCCTGGGCTTGGTTTGAACTTGCAACCCTCCTGCCTCAGCCTCCCACAGGGCCACCATGCCCAGCTTACCACCCAGTTCTTGCTGTAGGGGCTCTCTTGCCTCGCTCCACATCTCTGCAAGTGGTGACCCTCATCCCACCCCTTCTCCCACTCCTCTGGTTCATTAGATAGAGCAGGCACAGCACCTGGCCCCTAGGACTTTCACAGACTCATCAAAATAGTCTCATTTATTTTAAAATTGGAGGGGAGTCTCATGGCAAAATAATACGAATCAACAGTGGTTGTTACATTACATATTGCTATCCTCAACTACATTGCTCAGATTACCCGATGTAAGAATGAAAGATTGCTCAAACCATTATAGGGAATACGAAAATAATTCTTCAGTAAAACAGTAGAGATAATACAGAGTTTCACTAGACAAGATGGTAGGAGTTCACCATTGTAATTTCATTGCATATTGTTACCTTCAAATCAGAGACTCTGTATCACTTTGAATGTTCTTGCTTTGATTTGTTTATGTTCATGATACTGGTATGCTGCTACTGTTCTATTTCTTTGTTTGTTTGTTTCTCATTTACTACTCTCTTTAAAATAAAAAAATAAAATGAAATTGGAGGGGAGAATCTCCTTTAAGGTCTACTTTAAGGAGGAAACTTTGTGTGTGGTGTTGGAGAGGGAAACCGGGGCTTGCGCACACTAGGTAAACACTGCCGCTAGAAGGCATCCTCAGCCCGGCAGAGAAAGTGTTTGAATATGCTGCAGTCCCCACATGGTTTCAGATATTGTTTCTGTGGAGGAAGGTGCTGGCGGAGTCTGAGGGCTGAACATCTGCCCTGGAGTGGCTCCGAGTGGCCCTGGGCAGAAGCTGTTCCTCAGGCTGGAGATAGGTATGGAATGAATGGCTTCACCATCCTTCCCAGAACCATCTTTGCATGGGCTATGCCATTGTGCACACCCTGCCCCCTTACAGAGCAGCCTCCGAGCAAGAGGACCGTGATGGCAGGTGAGGCAGGGGTAAGCTGGTGGGACAGGCATTTTTCACTTATAGTTTTTAAGGCTCATTATTTTCCAGATAGGTCTTACTTTCAGGGAAGCATGGTAGATAGAGGTAGATAGATAAGAAAACTGAAAGCTGGGTATGGGGTGGAGCACACCTATAATCCCAGCACTCGGGAGGCTGAGGCACGAGGATTGCTGTGAGTTCAAGAGTAGCCTGGGTTACATAGTGAGTTCAAGCCCAGTCTGGGCTACATAGTAAGACCCTGTCTCAAAAACAAAGAAACAAACAAACAAAACTCCCCCAACCCCAAAAAAACCAAACCCTGAGATTTAGAAACACTAATAATTTGCCCAAAGTTAGCAAGCTATACAGCCAAAAAGTTGGGTGGAAAATCTATGATTCAAAGTTAGTTTTGGCTACACTGGTTGGAATGCAAGTTGGCCATTGACTCCAGACTAGTGGCAGCAAACCAATGACACATGTTGTTTTTCTTGTAAGACAAAAAATGTCAATGTACGAGTTGTTTTTCCTAAATCAAAACCTCAGTTTTCAGGTTTCATTGCAGTGGTGGCACTTTCCGTTAAGTAGGAGGGTTCTGGGTTGCAGTTTGGGCCCTTGCCTCTGAAAGGTTCACCACTGCTGCCCTGGACTGTTCTGTGCGTGTGGTGTACATTTACATTAGGACTGTTTGTTTGTTCATTCGTTCATTCAATCTACACTGAGCCCGAGGCCTGCACTGGAAGCTCAGATGACAAATAAAGTCAGGTACAATCAGAGCGTCCTGGAACCAGCTAGGAGAAGAAACGGGGAAGGGAACTATCCGTTGTAGAAAATCTGCCGTCAGAGGGCTTTGCCACATGTAAACACAATGTCCCGGGAACTGTGAGGGAAACCTGCCCTCTCCCAGCCTTGATGATGGCCCTTTATACTGCCCAAAAGCTGCCTCTCTGCCAGGAATCTGGGCAAGTCCCTTGCATGGCCTGGACTTGACACAGAGGCCCAGCTGCAGATGCAAACCACAGGAAGTCACGGGTCTTGGGTGTGGACCTTAAACTCTGACTGGCTAACGTTTCCCAGCCCTACTCCCTCCTGTCTCTGGAAGGCTGACCTATTGTCCCACTGGGGTCAGGATGTCCACTCGTCTCTTCTTGAAGCGCCCACATGTGTCTTTCTCTTGTTCCCAGCAGAGGGATGAGGGAGTGCTCAGCCCCAACACTGACGGCCACGGCAGGAAGAAGGATGGGCAGCCCCAGAGTTCCGGCAAGGGCAGCAGCAGCGGCAGCAGCCACCTGGCCTATGGCGTCTTGGACATCCCTCCGTGGTATCTCTGCATCTTTTTTGGGATCCAGGTAAGGCCACCCAGCAGGCACTCGGTCCAAAGAGTCTCTGCCTTAAAAGTTCCACCAGTGCACAGCGAGATCAAGCCAGTCAACATGACCAGCCTCAGTTGCTGGTGTAGCTTCCATGTTGTTGGCCTCTGGGGGAACTCAAGACCCCTCAGTCTCTTTCTCTCTAGGGGATGAGGATGAGTACTTAGAGAAGGGTTCTTCCCCATGCTGGGCTAACTGGCCCCTTGTTCTCTTGAATGGGCTGTAAGGGTCCTTGGGAGGCCTGAGAGGTACTAGCTCAAGTACCTTCCTTGAAGCAGTTCCTGCCAGCTGTAGCTTCTGTCTGATTCAGCTTTCACCACATGCTTCGGGTTCTCTAAGGTCAAGAGATTTACTGGCTAACAGGAGGGAGTTGGCCCTTCTGCTTGGTTCAGCTGTTGGTTTGTTAGCCAGTGTTGCTGGGGATGGTAGGAGATAGGAAATGAAACACTGCTGGGCTCTTGGCCTGGAGGACATTGTGGCCTGTAGTGATCTAGCTCACAGGAAGTGAAAGACACATTCACAAGAAGACACGCAGGATCAAACTTCTCAGTTATCCCAAGGGGACACAGGGGCAACAGCCAGGCTTGTTAACAGACTGTCCCTTTGTCCCTTGAGACTGGAGTGGTGTGGCGAAGGAACTGGAACTGCTCCTTGAGGTGGACCTGGTCATGCACTTCACTGCTGCCTCTGTCCTCTCCTGTTGTCACCCATGTGGCTGGAGAGGCCTGGGTCTGTCTCTCTCTCTTCAGGGGTGCAGGTCCAGGCCTCTTCTGGGGCCCAGGCTTGTTCCATGTGATGCAAACAACCTGCTCTCCTCCTCCGGCATGGGGCAGTGCAGGTCTGCATCCTGAAGGACTAGTACAGTCTGAGACCATCTTTGCCCAGGGGCAGAGGGAGTGTGGGAAGGCAGGTAGGTGCAGTACATGGATACAATTTTGTTTTCTTTTGTTTTTGTTTTTCTTCCACTACCAGGAATTGAACTCACGACCTTGCGCTTGCCGGCAGGCGCTGTGCCGCTGAGCTAAATCCCCAGCCCCATGGATACATTTTAATTTTTCTTTTTCCTAAGGAAAAATGTCCAACTTTTCTTGTGGGTTAATTTAGTTCACATTAAAGTTTGGGATCAAAGTCTCCTGAAATAAGACAATGATAATTTGGCTTCCACTCCCTCCTTTGTGCAAAGGTCACACAGTGTGGTCCGAAGGACTGGCCCAGACAAGGCAAAATCAGGCATTCTGAGTCTTGTGGTCTACTTCTACCATCACAGTACCCTAATGGCAGCTTTGCATGGCCCTGCCCCTCACAGTAAGCATAGGAAGCTTCTTTCTTTCCTTCCTCCCTCCCTTCCTTCCTTCTTCCCTCCCTTCCTTCCTTCCCTCCTTCCTTCCTTCTTTTCTTCCCTCCTTCCTCTTTCCTTCTTTCCTCTCTTGACAGACCCAACAGCTAAGCCAAGCCAAACCAAGCCTCCTAACCCTGGCTTGACTCATGCCATAATTGTACAGGTGCAGTTACGGTGCAGAACCCACTCTATGGAATAAACCTACAACTGCACATTGGTTCCTCCTGATGACAGGAGAGCAGAAGGATTCTGCCAGCACCAGGAACACAGGGCACTGTGCAAATGTTGGCAGAGACCTGATCTAAGTTATCAGACAACAGGCTGGATTGGAGCAAAGGAGAGAAGCAGGTGGATTCACACGTCTTTGTTCTCAGAAAGTTGGGTTCAGGCCTGGTCAAACTTTCTGCTCTGAGCTAGAGGAAGTGAGATAGTGGGCCATTCCTGACTGGTCTTGATTGCTTGGCCTCATATCTATTTATTATCTATCTATCTATCTATCTATTTATCTATATCTATCTATCTATCTGTCAATCTATTATCTATATCTATCTATCTATCTATCTATCTATCATCTTATCTATCCATCATCTACCTTTCTGTCACCTGTATCTAATTCATTCCCTTGATAGGTGAAGCCACCTGCTATGACTTTCTACCCTGCTCCTAACTCTGTCCCACCTGCGGAAGTGCAAACAGCCTTTGGAACACTAACAGTTCCAAGTCAGTGTGCAGGCCTCCCTTGTCAGTGGTTGCTCCTGCCATGGGCCTCGTGTACTGATGAGCCTCTTGTCCCTCTCCCACTCTGAACGCCCCACTTGGTTCTGGTTCTGCCCCCTGTGCTTGTGGGCTTGCCTTGGCTTCTCCTCGAAGAGAGCAGTTCCCGTGTCAGGGCCCTGCCTGCATCCCAGTGGCTCTGGCTTCTTACTGCCAGGTCTCTCTGGTCTGGATGTCTGGTCTGGACTGCTTGTCTGCATCTTTGCCTGCCACTCCTTGCATGCCCCTCCCAGACCAGCCTCAGATCTCTTACCTCTGACCCTGGGGAGGGGTCCCCTCCAAGGACTGGGCTGCTTGGCCTGCCCTCCTGCTTAGGGGAGTGAGGGGCGGCAGGCACCACGGTACCCACACGCTCATCTCCTCGCTCCATCCACAGCACTTCCTCACAGCCCTGGGGGGCCTCGTGGCCATACCGCTCATCCTGGCCAAGGGCCTGTGCCTGCAGCATGACCCTCTGACCCAGAGCTACCTCATCAGCACCATTTTCTTCGTCTCTGGAATCTGCACTCTCCTGCAGGTGTTTTTAGGAGTCAGGTAGGTAAAACCGCTCCCCCTGGATTGTGGCCCTGACCTGCCAGGGTATCTGTGTACAACGTCTGCTTGGTCGGTTGCTGGGGAGATGATGAGGAAGTTAATGTGCAGGCCTCCCTTGGAGGAGCAGCTGAGCCTGAGCCAGGGTCCAACATCCACTTCCAGCACCTACAATCTATGTTAGGTGCTGACTGAAAGAAACACAAATTAAGATTGGCTTGGGGGAAAATATTTTCTTTATTAATTAAAAACACCACACCAAGAGAAAACAGGGTGAATCTGTGCCACGGGAACATGGCCACCCAGGGACCCCAACGCCACAGGCCTTTCTCCCAGTTTCTACTCAGGCCTCCCCCTAATATCTGTGAGGCCCTGATGGAGACTCATCTATTCCACGTGTAAATATTAGAAACTTATAACCCTAGCAGGAAAACTGAAATAAAATATGTCCCAATCATCCTACCTAGAAGTATGGGTTTGGAATGAGATTTCTCTGACTCTTTGGAGGTCTGCTTTGGGACCTGCCACCAGTGTGAGATTTGATCCAAATCACAGGTGTCTCTTACACACGAATGTGAACACCCCAGCCTGCTCATCCCAAGTCACACTACCGTAAACGTCGTCTGGTCATCCTTTGGGCCTAGGGGTGCAGAACTGCTTCAGGATCTGCAGGAGAGACCTAGGTAAGAGGCCCAAGCAGCTCAGGAAGGGGCTCAGGTATATCTGAGCAGAGAATTTCGGGGACTCAGTGGCGAGGGTATGTGTCCCATCAGCCTGCAGACTGCTCCCATACAGAGCCAGAGTGGACAGTCTAAGGCTTAAGACCAAGTGCATGTGCATTCTTCTTCTGATAGAGGGCAGGACTCTGCCAATGCAGGGTTTCTCACACATAGGCTTCCTGCACATGTGCACAAGTCAAGGCCCCCATGGGGCAGCAAAGCCAGTGGGATGCATGTAGCTACATATAGGATGAGACTTCTTATGGGAATTGTTGTGTGCTGTTAGGGAGCCAAGAGCTCCATGGTCTGCCACCTGTCTGCTGGAGAACCAGGGAAGAGGGTGGTGTGATTTGGGCTGAATCCAAAGGCCTGGATTACAGGGTTCATGGTGCAGGGTGAGAGGTCAATGGCCTGAAATCTGGAGGCCCAGGAACGTCAGGATCTGAGGGCATTTGAAGATGGTGTCCCGGCCCAAGAACAGTGGGAGAAGCTGCACTTCCATGGACATTTTGTTCTATTTGGATCTTCAACAGCTGGGCTGAAACCAACCCATACCAGTGTAGGAGAACTTACTCAGCCTACTGATTCGAATGCCAATCTCTTCTGGAAACACTGTCACAGATACACCGAAGAATGGCTTACCAGCTTTCTGGGCATCCCTTAACCCAGTCAAGTTGGCATAAAACTAATGTAATCTACAGGAGTGCTGAGTACTGAAATAGTTATCGCCCATAAGTGAGAGGGTACTGCTCTAGCTTGTCTCACATTTTAGAATTCCAGTTAAGAGCTCTGATTGGCCCAGCTTGAGTCAAATGCCCAGCTCTGGACCTGCCAGGGCGATAAATATGACACTCATGTTCAGGAAATATTCCCAATGAAGTGAAGAGGAACTGGGTGTAGACATTCACTGAGCTGGTAATGTGGTTTGGGACATATGAAATAAAGCCACAGGGGAACAAGGAGTGATTACAATATAGAGTGAATGTTTAATTTAAAAAATTATTATAGTAAAAGACATATTGCCCTTAACCCCCCTCAAAATACTCTCCCCCAGTACCGAGGATATAGCTCAGGGGCACAAGTGCCTGCTTGGCAGGCACAAGGCACCGAGTTCTATTCCCAGTACCAAAAAAACCCCACAAAAATATTCCCACTTGCTTGGAACATACTTATCCCATTGTTCTGGCCACTTTCTGAAGCAGTGCTGGAAGTCTGCTTTTGTGGCTGTCTTTACAAGGTATGATCACAAATATAGTGAATGCCAAATATAGTGAATCCAGTGCAAAGGCAGGCTTATACAAACATCACAGTGTGCACTCATGAACCTGATTCACCTGATCTGCCCCATCAAAATGACCAGGAAAGGTAAATGTTTCAAATAAACTCAGGACATCAAGGCAGCCATGAGAATGCAACTAAAGACACCCACCAAAGAGAACTTCTAGACTGCTTTAGAAAGTAGCAATAACAGTGGGATAAACGTTTTCAAAGCGGGCGGGTCGGAGGAGTATTTTGAGGAGGCTTAAAGGTAATACGTTATTTATTTATTTTTGGTACCAGGAATCGAACTTATGACCTCACACTTGCCAGGCAGGCGCTGTGCTGTTAAGCTATATCCTTGGCCCGGTAATACTTCTTTTGATATAATACTTTTTTTTAAAAAAAAAATTTAAACATTCACCCTATTTTTCAGTCATACCCCATAAATGCACCTGCTTTCTGACAGTATCGTTGAGATAATGAGGTCTATAATCAGTAGAATCATCTTTGGAGTTTTGAAACCATCATGTGCTCTTTATGCAATGTGGGCTGGTGTTAGCACACCGAGTAGAATGGCATCCTCTGACTCGAGAGACAGCCTGAGCGGAAGTCTAGAAACTGTGGCTTCCCCGCAAGGCCACAAACTCTCTCTTTACATTTCTTACCACAACTCTGCCTGACTCAACCCTCCGTGACCTTACACAGGCTTCCTTGTGTTACCATCTTAGCTCCCCTCTGTGGGTCCTATTTACTTCCTTCATGCCGAGCATGCTTGTCCAGGGTCTCCTTTCTTTAACATCTCTTTAGTTATTCAAGGACAGATCCAGATTTGTGGTGCCTCAAGCTTGTTAAGGTTTTGATGTCCCTTTAAGAAAAAGAACAGAAAATTACACCGCATTGTCATGGCTGCCTTGGTGTCCTGAATAGATTGGAAATATTTACCTTTCCTGGTCATTTTGACGGGGCCAGATCTGGTGAATCAGGCTCGTGAGCACACACTGAGTTGTTTGTATAAGCCTGCCTTTGCACTGGATGGCACAGAGGCATTCACTGTACTTTTGATCATACCTTGTAAAGACCGTCACAAAGGGAGACTTCCAAAATCATTTAAAAAGGAGAACAGGGCCAGGTGTGGTGGCGCATGCCTATAATCCCGGCACTCAGGAGGCAGGAGGGTCGTTGCAAGTTCAAGACCATTCTGGGCTACAAAGTGAGCTCAAGGCCAGCCTGAACTGCATAGCGAGACCCTGCCTCAAAAAGACTAAATAAATAAATAAATAAATAAAAATAAATAAAAAGGGAACATTTATTTATATAGAAAAGGTAGTCATTGCTAATCACAAATTGTAAAAACCCAATAAAGACCACAAATTCCAAAAAGTAGTACGTTTTTCTCATGTAGCTATCTGACAGTCATATTCTCCTATCCTTCCTCTTATACTCTTTAATCATCATTATTTTGTAGTGAGATGGAAACATAGTTCAGCTCTTCTTCCAGGGCGGGTTAGTCCAAACTGTTCATTATTGCTAGTTGGGGTGTGTTATGACTTCACACATAGACTATAGTAGTGCTATAGGTTTGTACCCTACAAATATAGGAGTTCTGACAAATTCTGTTGTACACGATCCTTATCAAAAGCTTTTAAAATGCATGGTGCACTTGAAAGTGTGTATGGGCTACATTAAGTAAAACTTTTTTGTGTGTGTGGTACTGGGGACTGAACCCAGGACTTTGTACTGTCAGGCAAGCTACTGAGTTACATCTCCAACCCTTTTTATTTTTATTTTGAGACAGAGTTTCAATAAGTTGCCTAGGTTAAAACTTGTAATCTTCTTGCCTCAGTCTCCCAAGCAGGTGGGATGATAGGCTTGTGCTACCATACTTGACAAAAGAATATTCTTGATAGGACATTCCATTTTGCCTAGACATCAGTGAGAACCAAATCTTTACCAACTGTGCATATCAACTTGTCCACAGATAGCTTCTGGCTCCATATATTTCAAATCTTCCTTTTCAACCACTGCCCATACATGCTGAGTGCCAGGTTCCAAAGGGTACACGACATCACGATGCCACCTGTGGTCCTGCACCTTTGTGTCGTAACATCAGATAAGCTGGCACAGCAGTAGGAGGAATATTTCTGGAAACCGTGATTACACAAAGACGGCTAACAATAAATTAACTATGCAAGGTCTTTCAGGGTCTCAAACCACATAAATAAATCTTAATATATTCTAAAAATAGGTATCCTGATTTAACTTCCCTTTTGCCAAATCCTAAAGGTGTTTATGGCCTTTTAAATGCCACCTGAGGCAAGGGTTAGACGTGGGATATTGGCAGTGGAAAGAGACCTGTACCCAGTGCTGGTTGAAACCTTTTGCCTTTATAAATTACACAAAGGCACCTTGCTGCCGGATGTGATGGTGCCTGTAATCCCAGCACTTGGGTGGCGGACACAGGAGGGTCACTGTGAACGTGAGGCCAGCTTAGTCTACCTGCCAAATTCAAGACCAGCCCGGAGGGCTGGGGATTTAGCTCAGTGGCACAGCACCTGCCTGGCAAGTGCGAGGTTATGAGTTCTATTCCCGGTACCGAAAAAAACCCCCCAAAAACAAAACAAAACAAAAAAGACCAGCCTGGAGCAGAGTGAGAACCTCTTCCAAAAAAACAAAACCGGAACCAGTCAACCAAACAAAAACAAAGGCACATTGCTAGCAAACACATTGCCGGGTTCTTGTCTATAATTTAGAGGGAATCATGCAAGAGAGGAGCCCCTCACTGTCAATCTGATTCCGATCTCACTTGTGCCAGGCCCGTGCTCAGCCCAGGGCTTGCCAAGGAAAACAGAAAACATTCCCCAAAATCTGCTTCTCCCTGTGCCTTGTGAAGAGAAAACAAGTTCCAGGATAAATCCGTGTCAAATTCATCAAAGCTTGACAAATGTAGACCAACAGGTTGGCCAATTGTTCCCAGGGCTCATGGAGAGCAGGCAGCCTCAAGGAAAATACTCTTTTCTAGAGTGA